TGGTCTGGAACGGAGGGGTCTGGAACGGAATTCGGGGACTTGATCCGGAGCTCTTGATCGGGGTCTGGATCGGGATGTGCGTTCGCTCTTGTTCCGGACCTTTCATATTGAGCAGTAGCCAAATTTCAATTGATTTGAAATGGATTTTACTTTGATGCCAATTGATTTTTAAAGGAGTTTAATCAGATTTCAATTGACTGTAAAGGGACTTTAATTTGATTTCAATTGATTTTAAAAGGAACAAGTGCATTAGAAAGAAATGATTTTGTCGGTCAACTCGCGAAAAAAGGCACCAACTCATGCTTCTGGCCAATTACCGCGGACCAAGAATCAAAGAACACTCAAGTGCGTCTCTGTTGCCCATGCGCTAGTCCCGTTTTCAGTCATAGCTTAAGCATTTGTTGGCAATGTGCTTTTCCAGCGGTGGTGCCTCTACATGTAGGGATTGTGCAGGGTCTTGGGCCATGATCCCAGCGCACCTTTGTAAGATCGTACTGCGAGCCAGCTTCAAAGACCTTTTCCAGTGTGACCTTGCGACGAGCTGACAGATTTTGGACGACACAAGAATTCTACCGTGAATCGCGGTGCACCTTGTCGCCAGCTGGCTGCAGCAGCCACCTGGCAACCTTGCAGTTTGGCCACAGGGCATCTCCGTGTCTTGCACTTCTTCCTTTGTTGCGAAGATAGGTTGTCCAAGAAATTTACAAGGAGAGGAAAACACAGTCACAGCGACAGGCCAACGACTGTGCCTGCACGTCACAATGTCCTCCTTGGTTCATCACCTGATCGGACTCTGACCCCAAAAATCAGCTCGACTTTGTGAGCAGCTTCTCTCAATGCATGCCGGACCCGCAACCCCAAGCAGCTGTCGCTTGGCATTGAACCAGTCAACATCTCCAGCACCTGTTTCACGACTTTTCACAACATAAACCTCATTACTTTACCGTCTTTACCTTTTATTCTGCATGCACCCTTCAGGTCATCGCAGGCCCTGGTCCAATGCTGCACCGTCTCCTTGATAGTGTTGGGTCCTAGTGAAGAACGCGCCATCCGAGGACCACAAGTAATTCATGTCTGTCACCACAGCTCTGTGGTCCCATTCGGCCGTCTTTGCCAACCGGCCAGTCCACTACCTTGTAACTGGTAGCAAGTATTGACACCAGAGCAAAGTCATGCTGACATATTGCCAAGATTTGCCAGGGGCACGGCACCTTCCAGCACCTGTTTCAGGTAGAGCTTCTGAGAGTCGTAGAAGATCTGCATGGAAGACTTGAACAGTCTTGCAATCTTGCTTACAAAGATCACCTGTCTGCCGGGCTGTCTTGCCTCTGGCAAGCCAGCAAGAACGATCCTAAGGGCACCATACCTCCATCAACTGCATTGCTTGGTGCGTGGGTTGCCGAAAAAATGCCGGCGCACGTCCGTCTGAGCTCGGACTTGGCGTTCCACCCTGCAGCAGGCCGTGGGCGCGACTCATCATGCTTGTTCCATTTGAAGTGGTCTGGCTCTGGCTCTGCAAACAAGCAACGGCGTCAACTGGTTAAGATGCAAATGGGACTGCAGACCTAGAAGACCAGCGAGCTTGTCGTATTTGGCTTTGGAGCCCATTTGGCGGACCTTGACTGTAACAGCCACTCACACTTGTGAGTTCTGCCATCCTAAGATGAAGCGCGGGGAAAACAGAGGCACATGCTTGCAGAACGAGGTTTCGCCTCACCTGGGGTGTGAACTTCCCTTTGGACCACATGCGACACACCAGCACGCTGAGCGAACGACTGCCTCATGCAAGTAGTTTGCAGGCAGGGGCTTTGGGTGCAGGCTGGTTCCAGCCTTAGCTTGTTTCAAGAGGCAGTGAACTCCGCACGCCAAAGGCACTCCCATTGCTTGACAAAACACTTCAACTTGAGGGTACTGCTGCAGTGCGCAGCAGGATCTCGCACTCCGCTTCTGGGTGAGACCTGCATGAGCAAGGCAAATACTTTGATAAGAACTTATCGTAGCGAGGGGCCCGGGCCAAAAAACGTCTTGCCTAGGCAAGCTGCTCTCAGAAGGTCTAATGATTAGGAGCAGGTAGTGATGAGGAAAAAGTAGGGACTTTCACAACAAGGCTTGCTGCAAACTGGGCACGACAGCCCTTGGATGACTGCACGGACACGGAATCCCATTGCCTCGGGAAGTGAACTATGAGTACAAAGCTCGAAACACTCCCACTGCACGATTGGCTTGGACATGTGCCCTGATTAACGGAAGGACAGCTTCCCGCTCCAGGGTGCCTCCAGCCTACAAAGATCTAGAACCACAGACTTTAGCCACTTCCAGCGCTCACAGGCTTACAGGGTGCCATGGCCTGCTGCAGCCAGATCATGATCGTGGCGAGGAGGTCGGCAAACGGATCAGCAGACTGGCATGGAGTTATGATGCATCGTAGTCAGAGCCGCCAAGTTGCTTGCCACGTTCAGCTGGGGCAAAGCCACGTGGCAACAGCATGTAAGGGTCGCATACGGCATCACGGTGGACTCATCTGCCTGAGATGCACTGGGATGCTCGCACAGAACTTCGCATCTCTGCGTTAAACGACGTTCTGGGCACGATGCCGGAGACTCTTCTGCAGATGCCTGACGGACAATGTCGCCGCTGCTGCGGCGATGCAATAATTACGTGTATGCAGTCATCCTGCAGACTTCAAGACACTGGAAGACATGCTCCCAAATCTATTGCATGCTGCCTGCACTCAGTATTCGCTTGAGCCAGACATGTTGAACTTATGTAGAGGACTGTAGAGGGATACGAAGGCAAGGATACCATCAAGACTCAGAGGACATGCAGCATAATGATACTAGTGCTGAACAATGCTAGAAGTATCGCTGATGTTGACATGATTCGCATAAGCTTGGAGACTGCACAAGCTCTATCCATTGGCTTGTGCTCCGGAATCCTGAGTACTGTATTGGAAGCACATAACCAATCCCCCAAAAACATGTCCACATTCTCTACCCGTTGAATTTGCAGTAACACTAGAGTGGCCGACCGCAGCGAGGTCAGCGTTGCTTGTTTGTGCAATTCATGCAGGTGTGCTCCATATCGCATTGCAAATTTTGGGGGGTATCCTTCTAGGGTGTGTTTTTTTTGGGTGCCCGGCATCGTTGCTGCAATGTCTTGACAAGGGTCGAGATGTTTTGGATCGTTTTGGTAATTTCTTCGTGTGTTTGCCAGTTGTTTTTTCTGGATGGTGGCAAGGGTCCTGGGGAGGCCCCACCCCCTTTTTTTGCAAACCATGAAAATGGATATTTGAAGTCGCGGAATAGCATGAAAATGAGATAAAAGAATGGAAATTCATGAAAACATGACAAACATTATGAAAGGTGACACGAGCATGAAACATGACGAACAATGCTGAAAAGCGGTTCAACATGTTGCAACGAAAAACGAAAAATGTGCCATGTGATGAACGGGAATGTAAACGGATGAAAATGATGAAAAATATGCACATGATGAAAAATGATGGAAGGTTACAAAAAGCACAAACGATGAAGCATGATGAAGATGATGAAACGTGATGAAATAAATGTCGTGGAGCATGATGAATGATGATAAAATGTGACCGGAAAACTTTGGAGGATGTCGAGATATGAGAGAACACGACGTTAATTCCCCACCCTCACAGTGGGCTTGTTAGATTTTAAAGTCAATGTTGTCCTCGCCCGTTGCCTGG